TTTTAATCCTAAAATCTAAGGTAATATAGAGCTGTTCTTGCACTCAGGTATTGTTTTTCACATTTTAACTTTACAGTTTTTAAATAGTACTGGTTTAGGGATTCCAGGAATAAGACCCAAAGGTTGACTTCCTTTCTTGCCTCCCAAGCACTTGGATAGTAGATGGTATACGGGCAAGTAGAAAGGCAGCTTCTATTGGACTTTAAGAAGGTGGAGGGCTATGTAGGAAGTAAATAGCAACAAGATATCCACCATTATATAGAAAAGATTGTCAGTTGTGTTCATTGTCCTTTATATAGAGAGCTCCAAAAATTTTCATAACATTTCAGGTAGAAAAGCGTTTTTCTTGGAAAGCAGTTTTCTTCTAAGTTATCAGATAGGAACCTGTAACCCGCCATGTTTCTCCTTATTGAGCCTTGGCTACCAAGAAGCCCAGAGCTGCGTTTTCTTCTTACTTACAAGGGCTTCCTTTATAACGACTTTTTCCAATACCGCTATCCATCTTGTTCAGCATAGCTTCATTGCTGATTTTAATTACCATATTAGCCTTCTACAAATACATTTGGAAAATAGCTGGGTTAGAAACAAAAATTATATTTTAAAACTTTCTCCAATTTGCTTTTACCTGAGAACCCTGAAAATCTGCTACACATGACTTTGAGGCCCTTTGGAAGGCTGTAAGAGGCCATTTCACCCATTTAACTTATGAGTGAAAACAGGAGGCAGCCTAAGAAAAACCCACAGCCACGTGTGCTCTGAATGAAACTGAGTCTCTACACACAGGCACAAACCCTCACACATGGAAAGAAAATTGTTTTTGGGAAATCTAAGTTATGTGGTCGTTATAGACTCAGCATTTTCTCCAGCTTTGCGATACAAAGTGAAAATTGAGCCCTTATTAATTAGTGAGATTACCATAGTTATTAGGCAGGCATTCATTTAATGCTTGTGAAATTCAGCGTGTAACCATGCATTTTCAAAGACTGGAAATCTCTTTTACATCTTATCTCTCATGTTTGTAATGTATGGTTTTTCTTAGGGATTCCTTTTCTATAATAAGAATTTGCTTTCCTGGTGCCCAAGCTGCATGCTTCGTTTGGCTTCTTAAAGAATTCAGATGCAACTGATCCATTATTAAAACATCGTTCTCACTTAAGTGTTTGCTAAAATCAGAGCCTGTGATCTCTGTTTTGAGGTTTTATACCTGCTCCTGTCTCTGGTCTGTCAGGCTTCGGAAATAGCTGAGTTCGAGTTTTGGAGATCATATGTCTTTGCTAGGAGCATTTTTCCAACCCAGGTTGTCTGCCTGGCCTTTGTTCTCTTAATTTAGGTAGTCATTATGACTTCAAACAAACAAAAAAAAAATGAGTAATAATACCCACAGACGGCAAATGAAAAGATTTCTTTCCCATAGTGTTATACCAACGACTTAACAAATGTAATGATGTTCAGGTGGAAGACTGATTAGAGAAACAAAAAGGTTAAATTATAAAAATAAACTTTGTAACCAATTGTTTTGGTCAAATTTAGTCATACCTTTAGATGGAAAAAGTGCAACATTCATTGGCCTTTCAAAGTGTCACAAAGGAATACAGTTTAATAATACAAAGTCTTTGTTTTCCCTTTCTGCACAGAAACGGACCAATGGACTCCGAAGAACCTCCAGACAGGCCGATCCAGGTGTGTTTCTGGTTTTACATCTATAATTATGACTTAGTTAGGTGATTGTGAAAGTATATGGGAATTGCTGTAGAAAGTCATGCAGATTATTAGCCTTTGTTCCTCGCAGTTTGGTATATAATGTGTGACCAGGAAGTGACAGTCTAATGTGTCAATCAATCATTTACCTGACAGTGCTTCCTTCCTAGGCCAGGGTCACGTGGTGGGTCACGCTCAGTCCTGCATTCTTTCCACAATCAGCAGTTGAGCAGGTTATTTGCTTTACTGAGCAGCCTCAGGGCGCCTCATTAATGCTAACGTATCCAACAGACTTCCCTTCCCTCCCAAACCTGGAAAGAAAATCACCTAGCAAACGGGCACTTAACATTAGCATTTCCGAAGGAGGTGAGGGGATTCTTAAGCTGGACAGCTTCAGTCTCCTCCCCATTGGGGAAAATACTTTCCTTCATCCTGCCTGTAAACTACTTTATAAAGGAAGAATGAACTTAAGGACTTTGTGAACCCGTTTTCTCTCTGGAGACCAGTTCTTTGTCTGTGGAGACATTCAGTTGTGTTCTTCTCTTTAACATCATGGGGTTTGCCCTGTCATTATTTTAGTGTAATTATTTTTTCATCCATTCAGCAGTGCCTTCCACAGTTTAATCACTGAAGATTTGTTATGTATACGGCCATATTATTGTGGGTAAAAGGAATTCTTGACTAAAGGATGCCAAATATATGAGCTTGATAATAAATCAAGTGGAACATGAACTGCAGAGTAGTCTTGCTGTGAAATAATAATCTGGGTTATGTGTTTTGTTTTCTCATCATAAGCAGTGTTCACCTCGTTGTAAAGTTTAGCTTTCAAAGTATTATAACTTCTGGCTGAATCCACACCCATGGCAGCCATGCTGGTTTACGAGCTGTTTGAAAAGATTTATAGGTGCTTTGCTGCCCCTGGCTAGAAATTGCCTCACTTGTGTCCTGAGATCAGTTTAAATATTTTAACTACAGAACAAAATTGAGGCCATTAAAGAAATAATAATAAGCGTTCTGGTTTACTTGTTAATAGTTCTAACTTTCCCAAGACAATACCCTTTTCAGAGGTTCCTCAAAAACATTTAGAAGTGACTTCTTTTCAATAGGAGTGTATGACCGTGAACATCTTTGTTTTTCTTATTTTGTGTGAGTTGTAGTTTTTCTGTTTTAAAAATTTATCTAACCCTTATAAATGTTACTTTTAAGATATTAGTTCTTCTGTGAGCATTTTCATTCAATCCATTTCTTTCAGGGAAGTCCATTTCTATATTTATGGAGTGTCAGTAGGAACACATTTAACTATTAACAATTTACTTTATATGTATCCCAAATTTTTAGGAGTCTTTAAGTTATTTAAAGGGAGGTATAGTGAATTTACAGATTATAGGTATGACAAATGGACCAATAATAAAATAGTTCATCCTCCTTTATCCTGAAGGTGATGGCTTTGTATATTTACTAACTCTTCTAATATTCCTATTTGTCCAAAGATCTTGAAAGACTTCATGAAGAGTAAAGATACAAATATAAAAGAAGTAGTGTTATATGTTAGGTAGATAATTATATATCTGTACACACACACACACACACACACACACACACACACACACACACGTGTTATGTATCTTCTCCATAGACCTTTTGTTTTGGAAAAGGACTTAATGCATATAGTTCTCTGGGTATTAGGTGCTTAATAAATATTTCTAAATGGATTAATGAATGACTATAACTTTCTGTGTGCATTGACTCACTTGCTTTCTAAATTCTTCCTGTTGACAAAGTGGACCAATGTACTAATGGAATATGGAATAATCTAGCTTTAGGAAGCATGGCTCTGAGCCACGTTGCGTGGGCTGGGGACCCAATTTAGCTGTTTACTTGCAGCTGACCTTGGGCAATTTGTGTGTTCTCTGTACTGTAGTTTTCTCATTTGTAAAAGACTAATAACAGTACCTACCTTACAAAGTTGTTGTGAGCGTTACATGAGTTGCTACATGTAAAGTACTTATAACAATGCCAATATGTAGTACATGCCAGGAGGTGGCGATGATTACAATAATTACTTTGTGGTAGAGCATGTTATTTAATATTGGACATTTTGTCATGTGTAGGAGAATCAATAATATTTGCTAGTTATTTCTTCTTAAGCAGATCCAGAATTTCATGCTGAATTTCCATTGAAGCTAAAAGTCATGTAATAACAGTCATTTTTCAGATTTGCCATTATTTTCTGCTTATCTAGTGGTTTCTGTAATATTTTGCTTATCTTTAAAAAGAGACACCATCAATAGTGGTGGTTCCGAATTTTTGAAGTTAGTAGTGTTTGTGAATGTAATAAAAAAAGAAAGGAAAAACTCACAAGTTTGAAAACATACACAATGTATTGTGGAGTTCTTTTCAAACCTAGAAAGATGTCAGCTATAGATTTGCAATGTGGCTTGTTAACACATTTAAAACCTTCGCTCTTTATTAATGGTTGCAGTTACTGTTTATAGATGATATTTGCAAATGGCTGTGCAATTTAGTTTACATTTTCTTGTCTTCTGTTGTGTGCTAAGAAATTTATCAATTTATGATCTTGACTGTTTTTATAAATATAGTAATGTGTTAGATGCAAATTTTGGTAGCTCTTTTGGATTTTTTAAATATAGCAAGGTATTTTCATCAGTTTGTACTTTTCTTCCTGAGACAGATGTTAGTTTCAGGAAAATAACACTTGCAAGAGATCAATTATTTCAGGAATATGGAGGTGCCAGGCCTTTTTTAAGAGCATGTGATCATAAATCTCAAGAAAATCTGAGCACATTGTTCACCTAAAATGGCACTCAAGGTCAAAGTTACCAATTAAATTTTAATACTGAGCTTTAAAATTTCTTTCTGCCTGAGTGTAGGCAATACACGATTTATTTTAGTTTGCATGTGGCAAAGCTGTATACCAGGATATATGTTCTTTTAATCAAGTCCATGCTTTTAAATGATTACAAAATTGTCTTATATTTGTGGGACTCATAGCATTTGTATTTAAGACCATAGTTACTAGCTTTTTAAAAATTCAGGGCATTGTTCTCTGTTGTGCTGCCTAAAGATCAGATGAAGAAAATGGGAACTATTCAGGTACCTCATCTCTTTCTGATCTTAGGTTACTAGTGTGATTTGTGATAACCTTGAATAGTAAATGAGCAGAGAATGGTTACATTGATAAGAGCTCTTGTTCTTGCTTCTCGTGTGCTCATTGTAAAACTTGATTACAAAGAGAAACCTGGCTCAGAAACACTGGTATTTACTGAGTAGATGTCTTACTGTTTCTTAGAAGAGATATCTTCAAAGATGGTCACTTTCTCTTTCAGGTAGATAGAATTGATATATAATGTCATTTCTATTTGTTCTTGTATGAAAAAAGAAATTCAAAAAATCTTTTATTATCAACTTTGTGTTTGATAGAACAGTAAGCACCAGCAATGTCATTAATTATAAAACATGGCTCCTCCGCACAAGGAATTCAGATTTTGCCTCAGGAAGGAGTATACACAGACACAAGTCTTGATTGCATACATGCATGTGTATGAATGTACATATTAAAATACTTTAATATTACATATGCTGTTTTATATACTGATTCACTATGGTATGGCATAGTGTCATAAAAACAATTAGTGAGTAGTCTGATAAACACATAAAAATCTAATTATGTAGTATGTACAAAAAAGCAAAGGAATTTGAAAAGACAGAGGCAAGTGTGGGCTGAAATTGCTTTTATCTGGGTTGTCTACGTTTTCATTTCTATAAATAAAAATTTTGTTATGCTGGTTTATTGTATTGAATTGTAATTTAATACAGTTTTTCTTAATGTTTTAATTTCAAAGGATTGAAACCAATTTCAAATCTAAACAAAATTGTTGATTTCTTTTAGATGTGCTTTTTTTAAAACATTTTTTAAATTAATTTTTAAAATTATTTCTTTTAATTTATTTTTTATTATTATTAGTTTCAGGTGTACAAAACAATGCAATAGTTATTCTTTTCACCCCTCTCAAAGTAACAACCCCCCTCCCCCATCCACTCCCTCCCACCCCCGATATCATACTTATCTATTACAATTCCATTGACT